CAACATGGTGAAACCCCATCTCTACTAAAAATACAAAAAATTAGCTGGGCATGGTGGTGCATGCCTGTAATCCCCACTACTCAGGAGGCTGAGGCAGGAGAATTGCCTGAACCCAGGAGGCGGAGGTTGCAGTGAGCCGAGATCGCGCCATTACACTCCAGCCTGGGTAACAAGAGCGAAACTCCTTCTCAAAAAAAAAAGAAAAAAAAAGCATAATGTTTAAGAGACTGGGCTCTGGGAATATTAGTACAACCACTTCGCACAACAATTTGGAAAAAATCTAGTAGAGCTAAAGATGTATGTAAATTGTAATCCAGCAACACTCCTAGGTGGAAACTGTTACTGATCTGTTTAGGGAGACGTGTATACAAATGCCCATTGAAACATTGTAACAGCAACAAAAATATTCTTTTTGGAAACAATGTCCATCAACAGGTGAATGACTAATAAATTATGGTGTAGTTCTACAGTGAAATACATAGTATCAAAAGGCTACATATATATATTAACATGGATGAAACTAAAAAATATATTTATTGACTGAGAAAAAGCCATTTCTGGCACAGAGGGGTGAAACAGTATGATTCCATTTTTTTTTTTTTTGAGACTGAGTTTTGCTCTTGTTGCCCAGGCTGGAGTGCAATGGTGCAATCTCGGCTCATTGCAACCTCTGCCTCCTGGGCTCAAGCCATTCTCCTGCCTCAGCCTCCCGAGTAGCTGGGATTACAGGCATGTGCCACTATGCCCAGCTAATTTTGTATTTTTAGTAGAGATGGGGGTTTTTCATGTTGGTCAGGCTGGTCTCAAACTCCCAACCTCAGGTGATCTGCCCGCCTTGGCCTCCCAAAGTGTTGGGATTACAGGCGTGAGCCACCGTGCCCAGCCTACAATATGATTCCTTTTATGTAGTTTTTTAAAAACCCACAAAACATTGCCTATGACTCCGTGCATATGTTGAAAAGACAAAAACAGGCATGAGTTAAAAAACCAGATTCATGTTGGTGGTTATCTTGGGATCAAGGATGAAGGAGGAAGAGAAGGATACAGATCAGTTGAAGTTCACTGTGTACCCTCCCAATGACAAGTACACAAGGAACTTAAGCTGAATCTGCAGCATTTTATCGTTAAAAGCAGTGACTTTGGGGAAGCAGAAGTAAAATGGTGTGTGTTATATTCATCTCTATAGTTATTTGTGTGATTGAAATGTTTCATAATAAAACTTTTCCTTTTTGCAAAGTGGGGTTTGAATCTGTGCAGGCTCCAGCAGCGTGACTTCAAGCAAGTTACTTAGCTTCTCACTTTCCTCATCTGTAAAATGAAGATAATCATCGGGCCTATTTCATGGGATCATTGTGAAGATTAAATGAAATAATCTATGTAAAATACTTTGCACAATGCTGAGCACAATAAATAAAAGCTGTTATTCCATTTCAAGTGCTTTCATCAATCAACCAAGAGCAAGTCAAAATTCATTCAACAAATACGTACGTATTCAGCTACTCTTTTGTGCCAGGCCTTGCATAAAAGGCTATGGTTACGAAGGTAATTTATACCTAATCTGGTAGTGAAGGCAGCCATGTACATAAATTAAGGCTGTGCAGCAGACTCAGTGTCATGAGAGAGGTTAAGTGCTAGGTGGCATGAGATGTCGTAAATGTCGGTGAGTTTTATTCTGCTTGTGTGCAGGTTAGGGAAGACTGCACTTACTGCTGGTACTCTTTCTGTACTTGGTTTTCACCAAAGTAAACCCTATTGCTTCAGTTATTTTTGTTGCATTAACAGAGCACCTCAATATTTAACAGCATCTAAAGCAACAGCTGATTCTTAGCTCATCAGGGATGGTTTGTTTCTGTTCCACGTGTTGTCAGCTTAAGTGAGGATAGAGGATCCAAGATGGTGACAATGATATCTAGAGCCTCAGCTGTGATGGCTGAAAAAAGCTGGGCTGGCCACGCATTTATTTCTTCTGCGGTCGCTCTAGAAAGATTGGTCCTGTTTACATAGTGGCTTGGGGCTCCAAGAGAGGGTGAGCACTGAAGCTGTCAGATCTAAGTCTGGTGTGATGTGGTGATGCTGCATTCTATTGGTCAAAAAAAGTCACAGGCCAGCCTGACTTGAGGGGGAGGGTCAATAGACCACCTCTTGATGGAAGCAGCAGCGGGATATTGTGGACATCTTGAACCTACTGCATCTATTGTATCATACTCCATTTTACAGCCAATTTAGGAATTAAGAGGCACCTAGTTGGTGAGATTCTGGGACTGCTTTAGGAATCAATGGTGTGAAAGTTATTAGGTTGGTGCAAAAGCAATTGCAGGTTTTGCCATTAAAAGTAAACTGTAAGGCTTGAGCACGGTGGCTCATGCCTGTAATCCCAGCACTCTGGGAGGCCAAGGTGGGCAGATCACTTGAGGTCAGGAGTTCATACCAGCCTGGCCAACATGGTCTCTTTAGAAACACCATCTCTACTAAATATACAAAAATTAGCCAGGCATGGTGGCGTACACCTATAATCCCAGCTACTAGGGATGCTGAGGCAGGAGAATCTCTTAAGCCTGGGAGGCGGAGGTTGAAGTGAGCCGAGATTGCGTCACCAAGCTCCAGCCAGGGTGACAAGAGCAAGACTCCATCTCACAAAAAAAAAAAGTAAACTGTAATGGCAAAACCCACAATTACTTTTGCACCAACCTAATAGCATAGCAGCATTTGTAAAACACAGGATTCATTCTGATTCAAGCAGGAAGGAAAGAAGAAAGAAAACAACATTTTTTAAAAGTTTTTTAAAAAGATGAAATAGGCTGGGTGTGGTGGCTCACACCTGTAATCCCAGCACTATGGGAGGCCAAGATGGGAGGATCATGAGGTCAGGAGTTTGAGACCAGCCTGGCCAGCATGGTGAAACCCCATCTCTACTAAAGAAACAAAAAATTAGGTGGATGTGGTGTCACATGCCTGTAATCCCAGCTACTCGGGAGGCAGAGGCAGGAGAACTGCTTGAGCCCAGAAGGTGGAGGTTGCAATGAGCCAAGATCATGCCATTACACTACAGCCTGGGCAACAGGGCAAGACTCCATCTTAAAAAAAAAAAAAAGAAAAAAAAGATGAAATAAAATTTTAAAACCCAACAATAGAGGGTTCAAATCCACATTACAATACTACCTCACTGTATAACCCTGGGGCAAGGCTTTAACCTCTCTTCCCAACCTTGCCTCATCTGTGAACTGAGATGCAGTAAGATCTAACTTCCTAGGGTTGAGAATTATAGAATATATATTAGAATTATATAATAGAAAGAATGCAAGGAAAGTGCTGGCCCATAGTGGGTGAGATGGTTGAGCAGTGCCATAATACTGTTGTTATTATTAGGCTCCTTGTGTTTCTTCTTAGATAAGGTAATATGACTTGTATATTTGTAGTCTTTATTTGTCATGGGAAAACCCAATAGACCTCTAGAATTGCCTGTCCTTCCTTGAAAACCTCAGCAATTGTGCCATGGGGTTGGGATATGCCTTTGTGAATTTGTTCAACCTTTTGGAAAGCAATTTAGTAATCATTAACAAAAGTCATAAAAAAAAACGTTCATATCCTTTGACCCAATAACCAGACTTCCAGAAAATTATCCCAAGATAATTGGTTCAAAACAAAAGCAAAATCCATACACATCAAGCTCCTTAGGGCAACTAAAAATAGAGAAATAGCTTAAATGTCTGATAATAAAGAAACGGTTAGCTTAGTTATGATACAAATAAAAACACGTTGGAACATCATGCAATTGCTAAAAATGACAATCACTGTATGGTAGCATGGAAATTTTTAAAAATAAAATGCTAAGTGACAAATTCAGAATTCCAAAATTTCTCTATATGAACACGGATCAGAGCCAGATGTGGAAAAAACATTTGTTTGTGTTTGGAAGGTTGTTCTGTTCTGTTTTGTTCTGTTTTGTTTTGGGACAGGGTCTCACTCTGTTACCCAGGCTGAAGTGCAGTGGTGCATTCATGGCTCACTGTAGCCTCAACCTCCTGGGCTCAAGTGATTCTTCAACCTCAGCCTCCTCAGTAGCTGTACAGGCATGAACTATCACAGCAGGCATTTTTTTTTTTTTTTTGGTCAAGACATAGCCTCCCTATGTTGCCCAGGCAAGTCTTGAACTCCTGGGCTCAAGTTATCCTCATGCCTTGGCCTCCCAAAGTGTTGGGATTACAGGCATGAGCTGTCTGTCGCTTCTGGCCAGAATTGATTTTTTTATGCTTTATTGTGCTTTATTAGGCAAAACAAAAGTAAAAATTAAAAATATTCTTTATTGTAATTTTAAATCGAGGTCAGGAAAAAAAATGTAGGCAAGACCATAGTGAAAAATTATTTACTTAAAAAGAAAGGCTACCTAATAAATGCCAGAGAATGAACTCCAGAGCATTTAAAAATACAAGTGCTTAATCACTGGAGATTCTAAAGCAGGGGGTCCCAGGTGGGGAAAACCCTGTGTTTTTTCTGAACTCCTCAAGTAAGTTTGATGCGAGACCCATTAAGGTAGACACTCATCATTATTCTTTCAGATAATGTAATAAGCATCCTGATCAGAAATAGCAATCCAGGGAAAACTTACATAACCACAGCTTTCCCCCCCCCCAATAAAGTATGTTCCTACTTGTGAGGCTTTTACATTTCCATTTATTTAGTTGTACTCTGTCAAATTTTTAGCCTTTGTACATAATACAGAACACGGAAAGGACAGCTTTTGATAAACACTTGTGGTTCTGTATAATGTGGGGAAAAACACAGGGCATGAGAGCTGATGGCCTGGGGTGTAGCAGGAAGGGAAACAGAAAGAGAAGAAATGTGATCTCAACATTGGTTAAAAGATACTGATGGGAACTGCAAGGACAATCTCCCACTGCGACCAGCTGTGACCCTTTCCTGAGGAACAGACATACTGGGTAGCCTCATGAGACTTAATGTGCATATTTTTCTTTTCTTTTAGATGCCAACATTAACCCACGGGGAGTTATTGTTACAGACTGAAGAACAGAAAAAGAAAAAGCCAAATAGAGCCTTATACCACCCAGTTTAGCTTCCACAGAACATCGTGAATGAGAGAGTAGATTCTTGAGAAAATCCTGGGGTTATCCAGTTTTCATGACCTGTTTCATTAGACCACCATTTCCCAAAATGTGTTCTTTATAAAAAGTAGTTCTTCAGGGAAGGAGAGGAGAGAAAAAATAATAATAGCAATTTTTTAAAAAGCAGTTCTTCAAAAGGCTTGAAAGTATTATTTGGAAGGAGGTTCCATGATGAAGTCAGTTTGGAATGCAGGGTTTACCCAATTTTGAGACATTTCTTTGCAGGACTTCTCAGGACCTTTTTGAACCTTCAAGAAAATAATGTAGTATGAAATATGAAAACTTTCTCCTGGCTGATGAAACACACTTTGCAAAGCACTCGCGTAGACCAGTATGATTTTCAGTAAGAGCTAAATCAATTTTGTTAGTTGTTAAGGCATAAAACATTAATACGGGATATTATAATCCTAGACCTACATTATTTAGACTTTTTGCCTAAGAAAAATTAACTTTAATGTGAAAAATTAGGAGACAATATAGAGAAAATTCAAGAGCCTCTCCAGATAAATTCTTAGAACTAATGATAAAGTTCACTAAAGTTTCCGGATATAAGATGTCTGGGAGGTGGGGGAGGATACTTCCTTATATATTAATAGCAAACAATTAGAATATTTAATTTTTAAAATACCATTTGTAATAGTACCAAAATCTATAAAGTATCTAGGAATAAGTCTAATAAAATATGGCCAAAACATTCATGGAGAAAACTTACAACCTTTATTTAAAGACATAAAATAATTCTTTTTTTTTT